TGATTTTGAGAATAATAGGACCATGCCGTAGTAATTTAGATTACATTTTAATCGATAAACACATTAACAAAACCTTGACATCGTATTTTCTAATATACCAATACATTATAAAGAAGACAGTTTTGTATTTTTGTAAGTAACGCAACTCAAATCTATTGGATTTTAAAAATTCTTTCATCATTAAGAAGCTACATTATCGCTGAGTAACATAAGCTATATGTTTTTAATTCACGTGGACAAAGTCAGAACAGCCAGTTAGTGACAAAATATTTTTGTGTGTTCAACAAATGAAAAATTATTTGAGGAACTCACTCCACGTGTCGTGACGCGGCTTCAATACGTCAAATAGAGTCTCAAGGTCATTCAAGGGGAACAAAGAGGGCAACGCACCATCTACAAGATCTAATCAAGAACTATGACAGCGCAATCGACTCTATCAACATTGTTACATCCATATTAGTTTAGATTTCACTGCCGAAAATAAATGAATAAAAATATATTGTCATCTCGCTCATATCCTTTAAAAAACAGAGAACATAACACAATTTTGTACATATTTATTGACAGTGGAAACGCACGGTTATTGTTTATAGACTTTTGCTGCCCTCTTTTTCGAGCGTTATACAGCAGAAATCCTTTTGTGAATAAAACCTAAGCGGTTAAATCGTCAGGACCTAGATGCTAGACTAGGTCACTCTTTATGCGATAACTGTGCCGTATATTGCAAACTGAAGCCAATGTATTTATTGTTTATTTTCATTACACACGAACAACCAAATATTTGCATTATCAAGTTTTGCTCGCGACTTCTTTTGAATGATATTTAAAAAAAAAATAGCGAATAATAGTATATGAAACCCAATGATAACGGCTTTTCAATTTATAATAGTAAATGAATATCTGGAATAATTCAATTACGTACCAAAATACAAGTCATTTCTCTTTATAATATGTTAGAAATATAGTCATCATCTTTCTCCTTATCCTACTCCCGTAGTGGCGCAATAGATTTTTGTCCTCCACATAACTCTATCATACGTCATCTCAGTCATCACTCCCTTTTTGATCATGTCACCTTTCATTAGTTAGCATGTAAAGAAGCGTGTATGTGTAAAGGGTATGATAATTGTTATTTCTTTTATGTCTAAGCGTGGTATTAAAAAAGAACTAAATAGCCTATGTGTTCTTACTATCCTCCACATCTATGCCAAATTTCTTTGAGATTCGTTCAGCACTTTAGGCTACAAACTTTAACAAACATCCATCTAAATTTAAACCTTCGCATTTATAGTTTGTCAACATATTAAACGTGTTATAAACATGAAAAAATTGTATATTGGTCAGCATAAAAGGCGACTACGTCGGTATGTGGGTCGCAGCGCGTGCTCGACTATGAATACGGCACGTCATTGTTGCTAGGTCTAAGCAACACGCTAGGAAACACGTTGACCAAAGTATAACAGTTTTTGTTATTTTTTTTAGTTACCGGTTATAAATATGGTTATAAATGTTCCCTTGCGATTTCATCAGCATAAAAGAATTTTATTGTTTACATGTGTCAAATTGTCAATTGCAAATGTCAAAATGACATGGCATGACAAAACTTGGCAATCTTGTTTCCTTGATTAGGGTTTTTATCCATAATATTTACCCCCTAAGTTTAATGGCCTAAAAATATACAGCCTAAAGCGTGACGTAAGTGTAAGGCTTTTTATTAAACAAAAGAGTTATTCAAAAATACGCTGTAATTGCTGACATCTTAGGCAACAAAGAAGTGTGTGTTTACGCTTTATTATAATAGTATAGATATAGATTCCAGAATATACTTGTAAGAGCGTGCGCACACTTTTGATTTAACTATCTTAGAACTGTTTAGTCTCGCTTTGATTCCTTTAAGCTTATATTGAGGTGCGCACACTCGATTTTTAGTTGTGCAACTAAACAGTTGAATGGGCTGCGAAACAATAGACAACCGACAATCGTACAACGGTTGTGCGTTGATTTAAAAAAAAGGTGTGCGCCCGTTCTAAAGACTAAAAAAAGGTAATCTTTCCTTGGTCTTTTTGCAAATGATTTCGATTTGAATCTAGACCATGTTAAGAGCAGATACGACGGAACGGAACTAAAACGGAAATAGAACTTTTCCACGCCGGATCAATATGTACCGTATTATTCTTAGAATAGAGCAAATACAAGAGATAAAGTAGAAATCCATCATAAGTATTAACAAAACTAGAGAGTATTCCTATGAAACTGAACACCATAATTTAATTTATCAAGACGATTACTAAAGTGTTTGTGTTTTAAGGAAATTAAGTCCTAGTGCCCGAACTGTTCAGTTACAATTATCAGTTTGAACTGACCGTATGTAGAGGGCTTAACAATAACAAAGGGTAACATGTCGTCTATTGTTAAGATCTAGTAACAATTTAGAAGTTCTATTCATATAAAAAAAACATGTTACGAAGTTTGTTCCATCGTAACGTTATGTGAATGTTTCCGCAATGCAAACTCGCAGTTACACAAACAAGTTTAGCCACATCGTCACGGTATACGCGGCGTATCCAAGTCGCCCCGCACTACGTAACCAGAGCGTGGCTACCGTAAGCTATTGTCCATGTTCCGGCAGTTACTCTTTATAATGTCAACATGGATAATGTGTACAGACCTTTATGTTACTAGCTTATACCCGCGACTCCGTCGACAAGGAATAAAAAAAATAGTTGTTCTTTCATACTTTGCTCTACATGTATGTCAAATTCCATGGAGTTCCGTTCTGCCGTTTATAAACGTTTGAATTTACAATATTAGTAAAATGATTCTACATAAAATAACTTTTAAACGAACTATTATGACATATACCTGTCCTTATCACACTATATGATCGAGGTATCTTTCATCGAATCAGTCGTCTCCCTCCCTTCTAATTATATTGCATACACGAAATCTTTCGTAGACCTACCTCTACTGGTACTCTACATTCATAATTTAAAGTTTTTCAGTAAAATACTAAAACTAATCTTAAATACTTCGCAAGTGCCACTTCCTTTTTGAGAGTTTATGCGTGGCCTATAATTTAAGATGCTGTTACATATTTAAATAAAGTTTCAGTATTCGGCCGCTTGTCAAATGAAATTAGTCCTTCCTTAGAACATGTCCATACTATGCTAGCTTATTCCTATTCTGATAATCATTATATTAAGAAGCATCTTTAGAGCAAAAAAGGACTGAAAGGTCAACCCGCTGGGGTCATACGACCCTCATTTCCTTACTGATAAAGTGTTAAATTACACTTAACCGGACCTCTTCACATTTACCCTGCTGACCTTTTAGTACAAACTGACTTATTTCTCGAGTTATTTGTACAAATACCTCTATGGTGACGCGTAAATATCACACAAGCTTTATATTACGAAACTAATAAATACCGCACATGCTAATTTTAAGTATAACAGCTACACTCAGAAACGTCTTATCGTTCCTTAAGTTGTCCCTTAGTATCGATTTCTTATTATTCATCTGAGTGGCTTTTGATTAACATTTCAATGAGTGTAAGATATCAAATTTTCCCATATTATGTAAATAACCCACTTGTCTCAACGATTAGATATATTATGTGTTTGTTTCCATTGTCACCGATCTTTGCTACCGTATCGTGAGTCACTGTTAAAACCGTAGTTGATTATCTTCCTAATAGGTTCAACATCACAAATGTATTGGATATGATTAATACTTCTGGAATTTTAAAGGAAACGTCCATTCTTCATTTATTACTTTTAATCGCAGAGTTGTTAATCACTAAGTAAGACCCTTAGTGTTATTATTTCTTATGCTAAATTTAGTTAACTATTTAAATTTGGATATGGCAGTTGCATATCAATTTTAAGGTGAATTTCCACTGTAACAAATACATATGCTGCGACTCCTCGGATTCACAGCTTGTTAATTACACATATATTTTTTAATTTATTCTCAGACTAGCTTTCGGCCGCGAATCCATCAGCGTGAATTCGAAAAAAAAAACAATGCTGAGTAGCCTATGTGTTTTTTCAGACTATCCTCTATGTCTATGCCAAATGCACAATGCATAATATGCATGCATAATATTAGTTTAGATATATGCAGGTTGCATCACAATGTTTCGTTGTAAGAACGTCGAATAAACGTAAATTTGAAAATTTGAAAAACATTACTAAATGATTCGAACCTTGAACCTATATATAAATCAAGTACTAAACACCTGAGCCACCGACGGTAGAAAATTACATTAAATGCATTATAAAAATAGAACAAATAAAAAAAAATCCATTGCCAAAAACTTCCGACCGTTATAAGGGAACGGTTGCAAGTCAAGTGCGGGGTCGTTGACCTTTTGACCCCATTTTACCCTCAAATAAACTGCGGGACTTCTTACGCTAGTCTTTAGTTACGTTTACATTGTTACAACTTGTATATACTAGCTTCGAATTAAATAAGTAAGTAGCCTATGTGTTCTTCTAGACTATGTCTATTTCAGCGAGATGCAACGAGTTGGCTGCGAACGTATATTACTACGAACGTAATTTTATTGAGGGTATTTCGAGAAAAGAAATCATACAAAAGATTAGAAACTAGATTTCATTGTACAAATAACATTTTTACACATTAGTTACGTTTCTCTACTATTATATTTCAAAATACAATAATTAAAAAGACATTTAAAAAAACAAATACCTATAATATTATTAAAATTACCAAGCAATATATTATACCAATTATAACACCAAATTGTAACATTCTCTTAAAAGTGTTATTATTGTTAAGTAAAGGGCAACACTAGAACATCGGCATAGACGTCCCTATCTGACAGCTGTCAATGTCATTCTGACGTATTGGAAAAACGCGCCATTAAGGGGGATCAGTATTTCTGATTGTTTAATTACGTTAGTTATAATTATATTAATTGCTTAAAACTAGTAAAACATGTTTAATGTGTATGTGTCGTCAGTGTGAACACTAACCTCGGCGCGGGCAGCAGCTCGGCCGGCTCATCATCAGCGTCATAGAAGTCGTCTTCACCTTCCGACGAGGAGTACGAGGTATCAGGAACCAGGAGAGACATCGCTTGTCCTGATCAAAAAGAGAAAGAGATATAGAAAATTAATAAAACATTTTTTTTACTAGGTTTCGCCCGCGACTCCATCCGCGTGAAATAAAAAAAAATAGTAAACACCTGCTGTTGCTGATGTAGCTTTTTCATTATGCAAGAATTTTTGAAATCGGTCCATTCGTTTTTGAGTTATTTCAGTAAACCAAAGATACAAATATTTCCTTTTTATAAAATAAGCAAAGACTACCTTACGCTCGCGACTCTGCGTGGAATTAAAAAAAAAATTGTGTACCTAGATGTTCTCCTAGACTATCTTCTATAATTGCACCAAATAACATCGACATAAAGCAGTTTAGTCTACAAACTCTAACAAGAATCCATAAAAACTTTAACAAGAGAAGTAATATAAGATTTAAGTAGTAACGGAACTGGAAGTACTAAGTTTTTTTAATTCCTTGCGGAATCTTTGACAACAGCTGAAATTTCCTAAACAAACTAAGTTATATGGAGGACGAAAATGAGGATGATGATGCTGAGATCATTTCCATAAATATGTAAGTTTAAATATATTTGTTGTGTTAAGGTGATGATTTCTCCTTCCCTGATGAGGTCCCCTTCCCTGGCATACATACTGGGAGCGTCGATGTGTTCCAGTGGCGTCAGCGGCAGCGAGGGCGTGGCCAGCTCGCGGCACTCCGCGCCCAGCTCCACTCGCGGGGACAGGTCCTCGCCTACATCACAACAAATAACATTAACTAGCTATCGCCCGCGACTCCGTCCGCGTGAAATAAAAAAACAAAAATATCCTAGGTGTTCTTCTAGACTATCCTCTACATCTATACATTTCATCGAGATCCGTTCAGTCGTTTAGTCTACAAACTCTAACAAACGTTCATCCAACCATCGAAATCTTTGCATTTATAATATTACTAGCTGTCCCCGTGCGACTTCATCCGCATGAAACTATAAAAACCTTTTTTAATTGTTTACATTTGTCAAATGTCAAAATTAAAATGTACAACCTTGCTTCCTTGATATCAGCTTGTAGTTTATAGTCCCTTTCCCATTAAGGTTTTTTCAAATTTATTTACACCATAAGTTTATTAGCGTGGAAATATATAGCCTAAAGCGCATTGTAAGTGTAGAGCTTTTGTTTAAAGATATAGTTAATCAAAAATATGCTGCGATTGCTGAAGTCTTACGCCACAAAGTAGTGTGTTTACGCTTTATATTAGTATAGACTAACTATCGTCCGCGACTCCGTCCGCGTGGAAAAAAAACAAAAGCATCCTATAGGATGATATATTATATATTATATATTATTATATAGAAGAATATATTCTTCCAGACTATCCTCTACGTCTATACATTTTGTCGCGATCTGTCCAGAAGTTTAGGCAGTAAACTCTAACAAACATATATCCATCGAAACTTTCGCATTTATAATATTAGTAAGTAAGATTAACTTATTTAGAATCTCATCATCTTCATAGTTTTCGTCATCTAAATAATTATCATCCGTCATCTCAGATCACTTCCTTCTTGATGACGTCACCTTTCACAGAATACATCCATCTCTTTCTACCTCTACCGATGTACCACACTCATAATGTCCTTCTCGAAATAATTGAATTCTTACTAATATAAATGCGAAAGTTTAGATGGATGGATGTTTGTTAGAGTATGTAGCCTAAACTGCTGGAATCTCGATAAAAGGATAGGAAGAACACATAGGTTACTTTTCTTATTTTTTTAATTCCACGCGGACAGAGTCGCGGTCAAAATAATATTTCTAAGTAAATTGATTGATTCTTTAATTACCTTCTTTGTTATGCATTTGAGATGTATTTGTTGGTCCCTGGTACACCCCGTTCACAGGATTCACGGTATTCTGGTATTACAATTATTTTATTGAAAAAAGTCTGCAGATGCAACGATAGATGGCGCTTTCTTTGTATGATAACGAAAATAGTTTTTCATATATGCATGATTTTGAAATAAAAAGAATCTTTAAACATTAATCCCTAAAATAATAATTTAAATGTATTGGAAATATAAAAATAATGACCACAAAAATCTTTACCTTAGCTATTTGAAGAAGTACTATGGAATGTTTTATATTGTCCAACATTGCCTGTAAAAAATTAAAATAAATTAGACATAAAAAAATTGATATATGGATATTTTAAACACATCGTTTAGTAATTAGTATTAGATGCTTCAAAATCTTAAATCTAACTGCCTTAAATTCGTACAAAAACAATCACTCAAACAGAAAAAAGACAGACAATCATCTTACTACAATAATATTAGTCCCTTTCCCTTTCCACCCTTTTCTTAAGAGAAAGGATGGGAAGGAAAAGTGGATTTGACGGTGGAGACGCATAGGAAGGGGAAATATTCTCTTAATGTGCGTCTCCTCCTCCGTCTATTAAAGGTAGACAACGCATCTATAATTGCGGATATTTATGGGCAGCGGTCGCTTTCCATTTCGGTGGATTCAGGTGGCCGCTTGCTCGCTTGCCACCTTATGTTATAAAAAAAAAATTATAAATGCGAAAGCTTAGATGGATGGATGTTTGTTAGAGATAGTAGCCTGAACTAATTTTGACAAAATTATTCACAGATGTAGAACATCAGGAATAACACAGGCTACTTACTAAGTTTTTTTAATTACGTGCGGACGAAGTCGCAGGCAAAGCTAGACACACACGTTTTTGCCTTTACATACACACACATACACAGTTATATCATACTAATCATACTAATATCATACTTTCATACTAATATTATAAATGCGAAAGTTTGGATGGATGGATGGATGTTTGTTAGAGTTTGTAGCCTAAACGGCCGAACAGATTTCAATGAAATTTGGTATAGATGTAGAGGATAGTCTGGAAGAATACATAGGCTACTTACTTTTGATTTTTTTTAATTTTATGCGGACGAAGTCGCGGGCGAAAGCTAGTAGTGATAATTAATGACACATTACCCTAGTTATACTATACTAATTATACACTAAATAAATGTTATGTCTGATATTTATATACTTACGTTGGAGTGATCTAAAATTACTTGACCCTTGCTCTTCTCCTGGGGGTCCGCGAGCTCCGATACACGGATGCCCATTTTCTGTAAAATTTTGATATATTACTCCAACTAATATTGCATAGCAATTAAAATTTATTTAAAACATATTTTGCAATCAATAGTGACGAAAATTTAGTTAGACACTGACATTGTCAAAAGCTTTAATCGAAGCGTAACAGATGGCGTTGTAATAGGTAATGTTTTTAAAACCGTCCAATAGATGGCGTTTATACAAATTTTATATTTTAGAGTAAAGAAACAAGAATAAAAAAAATTTTTTTTTAGTTACTTGCCATTACTTAAATTATGTGCATAAATAATTAGTTTGCTTTTTTAAACAATAAATAAATCTTTTAATAGTAAAGGTCATTGTCCTGGTCATTCTTCAAGGAGAGATATTGCAATATGATAAGAGGTTGTCATCGTTTGCCGCACTCTAGTGACCGATACGAAGTACGTCATATCTTTTATATTCCACCAATTGAATACCTATACATCGATAATGCACAAATATTAATGAATTATTATAATGTGGGGATAGTAACTTCCGGCTAGGCCGGGTAGATACCTACAGTATGATTAATTTTGTCGAAATTAAATATCAGAGATTGTATGGATGTTTTAACTTTAAAAGTACTGTACGATTCTGGTTGATATTTCGAAGTAGAGGTTTAAATAGTATTTTATTTTACTGATTATTGTGAGTATATTCGTATCGTCAACTTCAATCTTTGTGGTAGATCACGGTCCCTGGCACACATCATACTAATATTATAAAGAGGAAAGATTTGTATTTAAAGAAATAACTCAAATACTACTAGGCTGATTTTCAAAAACTTTTACTATTACAAAACCTACGTTATCAGAGAGTAACATAGGCTACTTTTTCTATTATTTCTTAGTTCCACGTGGACGAAATCGCAAGCTGTAGATAGTTTATATTAGAGATGTTCCAAGCCGCAAAGATGTTTGATAGAGGGATATAGTTACCGTGACTAGTTCAATCATGATCTGCAGGTAAGCGTCCGCTTCAGCCACACGTCGCTCGAGGTCGTCGTGTCGTCGCGCGGGCGCGGGCACACAGCGCGCCCACCGCTCCCGTCGCCCGTGACGTGCTATCGTCTCCTCCAACGCACGCACCCACCTCTCACGCTCACTGCCATCGCGTGCCTAACAACATTATTCTCAATAACACTGGTGTAGAGGCTATGTAGAAGTTCCAGATTATATCACGTAGTAAAGGTTCGTAAGATACATCTTATAACATTGTATTTTACACTTGCGCGTCTCAAGAATGTTAGGTAAGTTAAGAGCCGCCAAGATATATGAAAACTATTTTAGTTATCTTACTAATGTTAAAAATGCAAAAGTTTAGATGGATGGATGGATGTGTGTTAGAGTTTATAAACGGCTGAAGGGATCATGATGTAATTTGGCATAAATGTAGAGGACAGTCTGGAAGAATACATAGGCTATTTGCTTTCGTTTTTTATTCCGGACGGAGTCGCGGGGGAAAGAAGGAAGGGATACATATTACAACATACCACCGTCTCGTGTAAAGGCATCTGTTTCGCAGACACTTAACACTATATGACCCATTTGCTTGATTGCATCGTTTTCCATGAAAATGCCATATAACTTTACATTAGAAGTGTAGCCCACTTGTTGATGATAGGTGGATGGCCGCTCATAATTGCTCTGACTCGATTAATATCAATTCTATTACTTTCATAACTCTAGCCACATTCTCTTATAACGTATAGTTTCCAATCTTTATTCACATTTAGTATACAGCCAAGATATTTTTGGAAGCAATTGCATAACCATATTTTTAAAACCAAACTGTTCAAATATAATTACGTAAAACTGAGTAGCCACAAATGGTTCTACACTAATGAACTTGAAGACAAAGACGAAATATAATCTTGTTCCATTTAATGCGATAAAGGCATTTCAAGGCGGCACAAAACTAGACTACGTTTGCATTGTAACGGTTTCCACTTTTAGACACAATTTTTTTTAAATAACAAGACTTTCATTTAACGTAAATTGTAAACCAAAAAGTATTGTCTACATCTAAAATCAATTTAAATTAGGAAAATGTAACCCTTTTGTCCTCATTTGCGGAAGCGGACATCCGAGAGAAAGGCGTTGCTCCGAGGTGATTCACCGAACGTCGCAAATTGCGCAAATATTTGAGATTCTACGACATACTGCCTATCCCTCACGAATTATTACGTCAACAGCTATCGAATTTTATGAATATTTTCTCTAGTAAAAAACTCTAGAACACCCTAATTATGTTAATATTGCCCTTTTCTGCTTTACTCTATATCAAGAATATCATCATTTGCAACTCCAGTTTAATTTGAGATTATTGCAGATGTCTATGGCTAGCACAAATCATGAATTTCAAGCAGTTTTAAATCGAATTTATCTATTTTGACAACCCTACTGATAAACAAATATCTTTTCTTGCTATGCTGAAGCCGTGAGGGTAGATATTAGGGCTGCCACTAATCCGAATTACTCCAATTGACATGCTATATTCTAGCTACTGGTTTAACATCAATAGTTACTTCTCACCAGTTATCCTTAGTACCGAAAGTCTTAGAACTTACGTGTATTGCAGGTCTTTTAGAAATGGTCACACTAACCTGGAAGTGAAACGTCTTGTGGTCAACGGTGATTGTGAATGTAGAATCATCTTCATCATCAATGCCGATGACGGCAGCACGCAACCGCACGCAGCCTCTTCTCACACCGCGTGTCATCTTTTCTTTTGACTGGAATTAAAGAGATTAAAAATATATATAGAGGAGACATAAATGACACTTCACATGATGCTACATGTCCATATATTTAATTGTATTTAAATGAATTGCCAATAGGTAAACATTATGTTATTTTTTTAAAGTTTATTTTATAAAACAAGATTGAGCTTACTAAAATTTGGTAAAATGTTTTATAATGACAATATGTCTTTGAAGTGGCGTACTAAACTTCAGAACTAACATAGTACCTTTCAAAGAAGTTACCGGTGAAAAAATTTTGTTCTCTATGTCTACTCTATATATTTAAATGTCTTTGACTGGAATACAAATAATTATAGTTAAATAACAACCTTTGTGAATACTGGGAGAGAATATTGGATAAGCACATCCCAATAATCAATGTGAGGTTTATTCTATGGTTGAAATGGAAGAAAATTGCAGCGATCGACATTTTCGCCGATAGATGACTTTCTATATTAAGTAGTATAAATCCGATCAACGCATTCGCGAACATTCTGGAAATACGTATACATTGTCTCGGTAGGCAGTCGACCCCGCTGACATGATATTATACTTTCATATCAGAGTATTCATGTTTAAACAGGACTTCCACATTATGTATGTTTTGTCTCTTTCATTACTAAGAGAATAGACGAGACAGCAGATTAGGTTAGAGATTGTTTAAACAATCTATCGATTTTCATTTGTTTTCCCCAATAACGATCGCAAAAAAGGTATCTTTCAATTTCTTATTTAATAGTGAAAATACCATAAACTATTAATTTAATAATTACGAATTATAAAACAATCATATCTACTTTCTTTTTCTGGACAAATTAAAATTATTTTAACCTTTTGTAACGTCCGTATAAAAGCTGAAAGCTAAATCTAAATATTCATACACTAAATTAAGGTAATTTTAGAATGCTTATTCCGTAAATTATTTCCATACAAAGCGGTCACTCGTGTGTTGGTGGTTCCTTGCTTCAAGCACAATGGATACGATAACCTCTGTTTACAATACCGTGTTTTATAAGAAAGCAGGTAATTAAATATTGTGCTTGTTAAAAAGGATTTTCTAAGGGTATTTTAGATTTTCTCAGGTTCAGCAATAGTTTTTTTTTTTATAAAAAAAAAAACAATATAATACTAATGTTAAATATGAAAGTTTAGATAGATAGATCTTTGTTAGAATTTGTAGCCAAAACGGTTGAACGGATTTCAATGAAATTTGGTATATGTATATAAATGTAGAGTATAGTCTGGAAGAACACATAGGCTTACTCTTGTTTTTTTTAATTCTACGAGGATAGAGTCACAGGCGAAATCTAGTGTACTAATATTTCTTTTACCATTCCAACTAAGCGGAGACTTGTGCTAGGATATGGTTTACGACAATAGTCGATTGTTTACGATAATAGTGATCGGAAAATTGTAACCCAAACCATTAGGCTATTGGCGCATTCATTGGGTAAAGTAACAAGAATTTCTTGAGATAAAAATAGCAACAGGTGTTTTCTAGCACAAAGAGCAATGTTTTAAATTTCTCTCGAGACATCACGTAGTGAGGGCGTTTGCTGAATTAAAATAGTCCGTTCAAATAGACATTAACAGTAAACAACTCAAGGGCTAGGAAAGTTAATGAATGTTAAGAAAATAGAAATCAAAGAAAGGGCCAAATAACCGACTTGTTTTATTATTACAACTAGATCTCAATTTATACTGGACGCTCTCTTATCTATGGTACTAATGTCATAAAGAAGAAAGATTTGGATTTTTGTATGTTCAGTATATAACTCTAAAAATACTGGGCCGATTTCAAAAAATCTTTCACCATTATAAAGCTACGTTGTCAGTGTGTAACATAGACTATATAATTCATTATCCATTTAATTTCACGCAGATGAAGTCGCGAGCACCAGCTAGTCTACAATAATTATGCACGAAGTTAGGACTGCTTAATTATTCACTGACCGAAATGCGTCGACTAAACATTTTAACAATCATGTTTTCCACAGATTGGTATTATCCCAAACGAGTCTTCTCATTCACATAACAATCGTTTATTCATAAACATTTCTTGTTTAAACTAACAGAGAAGAACGCATGAGCAATATAATTAAGAATACGTTTGATTTCATATAATATTACTAGCTGTTCCCGCGCGACTTCATTCGCATGAAATTATGACAATTGGTTTATTGATTACATTTGTCAAATACAATTGCAAATGTCAAAATGATATGACATGGTGACAAAGTATGGCAATTTTGCTTCCTTGATGTTGGCAGCAACTTGTGGTCTCTTTCCCACATTGGGGTTTTTATCCAAAATATTTACCCCCTAAGTTTAATGGCGTGAAAATATATAGCCTAAAACGTGACGTAAGTGTAGGGCTTTTTATTAAAGAAAGAATTATTCAAAAATATGCTGTAATTGCTGACATCTTAGGCAACAAAGAGATGTGTGTTTACGCTTTATTACAATAGTATAGGTGGGAGATATCATACAACATTTACGGATGCCTGGTCAGCCCGAACTTAGGCTGACGCCTCTCGCTGGGGATTTATATGAGCTATTACAAGTTTGGGGGGAGGCAGACCACCTATGATATGTTTGTTAATCCGAAGTAATTCTTCCACAGATCCTCGGGTAAGCGACTGGTTTCTTATGACATCACCATGGCCGTTACTCTTCATCATAGCCAGCTATTTGACATTGATCAAGGTGATAGTACCCGCTTACATGAGGCGGCACGCCCCCTATGACTTGAAGACTGTCATCAAGTGGTACAACATCGTCCAGATTATCGCCAACGCCATCGTCACTTGGGGTGTAAGTTAATTAAGATAATATAATATACTAAACGATATAGATGGGGCATAATCTGTAATATCAATGTGACGTCACAATATGAGAATACGACTCTTTATTACCTACGTCATGTCTGACCGGTTTCTAACAAGACGATATTTAGCTGATATAGAATATATTTAGCAATGACCTTTTAGCGTGGCAGCAAATTGGTGGAACGTGTAAAATTTAATTTTCTACAAATAGGCTCGAGAGAATTGACTTCAAATTCAAAATGTCATCGTGCAAATTAATCCATACAGGTATTTCCATAATTAAAATATTGTCATGATATGGGCACGTTAAAAGAAAGAATCGCATGTGTCAAGGAGAGTTTTAGTTATAAGTGAGGAGAGGGGATAGAGAGAGATAGAGTACATGGGTAGAGGTAGGTTCAGGAAGAGATGGATAGTTTGCATTAAAGATGACATTCAAAAAGGGAATGATGACTGGGATGACGAAAGACTGGTGCTCAGACCCTACAGGAGTAGGATAAGGCGGTTCCCCGCCTCATCCTACTCTATATGAAGTCATATCCCAGGGTCAGAAATATTTATCTTATTTCCAGATAATGACATCAGGGTGGACAACTACTTATCACTTCGGCTGCGTGCTGCCTGATTATTCCATGAACCCTGAAGCTATGAGGATGCTTAAATTTATGTGGTGGACTATTGTACTGAAGCTTCTGGAGCTACTGGAGACCGTGTTCTTTTTACTAAGGAAGAAGGAGCGACAGGCTTCCTTCCTCCATGTCTATCATCATGTCAGTACGCTGGTAATCATATGGTTGGGTACGAAGTATATTGGAGGTAAGATTATCATGCATACTATTTTTTCCCCACACTAAGAGCAATTAAAGTTAGGTAGGCTCAGAGTAATCTTACTAATATTATAAATGTGAAAGTTTAGATTTATAGATGGATGGATGGAGGGATGTATATTTGTTAGAGTTTGTAGCCTTAACGGCTAAAGGATCTCGATGAAATTTGGCATAAACGTAGAGGATAGTCTGGAAGAACACATAGGCTACTCACTTTTGTTTTTTCTACTTCCACGCGAACGGAGTCGAGTACGAAAGCTAGATTGACATAAACTACTTTCCTGGCAAGGGATGGAATGGATGAATGATACGATTTGACATTTGTTTCATTTTGAACTTTTACCAATCGGTTTAAAATGTCTTCTAATTCTCACAAGGTAACAGGTACCGTTACAAATTGCAATATATTCGCACGGCACACTGGCAACAATATTGGGGGTGTACGGCGCCGCACGCGATCCGCGAATAAACCGCAAGTCTGGATCCCTCGCCTAATTACAACCATATCTAGGCACCCCATCAACTAACACGAATTTGCCATTCTTCGCAATTCCATGAACTATGATTAAAAACAAAATTGTGACTACAAAGGTAGGGGAGGACTGATAATTGGATTGTGTGAAAGATGATGACAGATATTAAACAGAAAGTAAAAGGTTGGCAACTATGGAAAAAAGGGCAAGGACATGACTATAGTCAAAAAAAAATTTCTTCTCTTTCTTTCTCTTAGATAATGACAAGGTTAACAATATCTGGTATGTGTGGGCAATGGAAAATTTGTTCAAAAGTGAAGCGTTATTAAAAAGATTATGAAACAGATGTATGTAATCTTCACACGATTGCTTTACGGCCTCACATTATTATAACAATCTATAAAAACGCGGACATCATTACGTAAAACATTATAAAAGATTTACGGAGATCATTATTGCCTCGATTGATACAAGAGGCAATTTATAAAGTTTTGAAATTACCTATCAGTTCCATGAGGTGTTATTTTGTAAGTTAGTATATATAGGCTTAAAAAATTCCAGAATGACTTTTTAAGAAAGACTTTTTTTTTTATTTTGTTTGAAAACACTTTTACTATCACGGTGAAGGAAAAAAAAAACTCAGATTGCGTTTGAGTTTAAATTTATTTTACAAATATTTCACCCACGAATAAAACGTTCTAAATTTTTCTTCATACGCAAATGGCTTTTGTATCGCTTATTGTTTCAAAATTTAAACAATGAAATCTGTATTCTCAATCCTTTCAAGTTTGCATTCCAACTTACAGAATTTCGGTTAATTATTATATGAAATTTAATCGAAGGTCACATCTGTAATTCCAACCGCTGAAGTCATGTGTAACGTAATTTTGAAATTCAAGTTACAGTTCAGCAAAGGTGAAAGGAATGCGATATGTTATTTACATAATATTGTTTTTAAGACGCCCACGGGCGCTTTTTAAACGCGCAGAGTTGGCGGTTTTTTAACGCTCTTGAATACGAACTTTGTAAAATCAACCTTCTTTCGTTCGATCAGAGATCAAAATGCAATACCGTAAGATAAAAAGCGTCGCTATTTACAATTTATTGTTATGTAAGAGATAAGAGAACAAATTTAGTTCTTACAAGTGCATTATCACAAGACATTTTAGTTGTAATTTAGATAACAGAGAAATATTTAATAGTAGTAAAAATATGAATAAAATTATTTCAATTGGTACACACAAGAAATGTAAGAAACAAAACTTAATTCCTCAACGAAAGGAAATGATTTTCTTTTACAAACTTAGGCAGTTGCGACTAACGACCTTGTTTTTTTAATAGCGTAAAGCGTTCTCGCTGACTGAGACAAAAGGGAAATGTAAATTCAGGCGCTACTAAAGTACTTTTTTTATTCGCAATTAGGCTGAGAGGACTCTTTCTCGTGAGGGCTTTTAAAATGAAGTGCAAAGTATTTTCAAGCTTATAAAATCTCTTAGGCGAAGATTGGGCTTGTAACTGTAAAATCCTTTTATATATTTGACATTTAGCTACGTAACAATTATAATTTATAGGGTAACGTTAGAATATATTAAACCTTGAAGTAAAATTTCTACGATTTACTTATTTTGTTGTACTACTTTTGCCGTTGTTTGTGGTGTATGTGCGTAGCTGCGTTAATTAACTATTTACAATGTAAGCAGACCTACATAATAGATTAAATATAATTTTAGGACAGCTAAAAACATTCCAATCTCGGTAGCCATTTGAGAAATCTAAAAATAACCTCAAGAAGATTACATTAACAAAACGGAACGGTTCCTTTAATAAATCGATTGAGGGACCTTCCCTGTCTCCAAACAAAGCAGAGTAAAACACAATCAATAACATTCGACTTTTAAAATTAAATTTATTTATTTTATTTAAAAAACAAAATAGGGATATTTCAGATTTCAAAGAAGGAAGGGAAAATACATGTAAAAAAATCTATTTGTTAATGAAACAAAAATATTACGACAGACCCTCTGGGGTAACAATCGGTACAGTTGTTTAAGCTATAAAAAGTGTCAATATAATTTACACGGATACAAACATACAAAATACGAGGAAAACATCATAATTTTTGATTTATTAAAAAAAGATAGATCAAGGAATCGCTATTTCATCGTTGCATGCGATCATAAACAAGCATTTGGGAAGCAGTTTATGCCGGCATTTGCTCTATCGCAGTGACGGCGTCGGTTTTACGGCTTCGTCATAAACACGTTTACTGCGCACGGATTATCGACCGTTATTATGAAACGTAATCTAATGTCAACCCCAATGAGATCAATGCAAACATTATAAAATACGACGAAATATTTGTATAAAATATGAATGTTAGAAACCAATAAAGGAGACAATTTATCAAGCCTAGATTCGGTATCTATATGTGGTTATAATCGACTTTTACTTATCTGTGTCAACTCACTTCCCTTTTTCTTTGATTCTTGCCTTGAAAGTGTACAAATCCTCGTCTAATAAAATAACTTAATCCATTACAATCATAATTATTTTAACCCAAAACCAAAGATTGGGCAACTACGGCTCGCCTTGGCAATTCCATATTTTAAATCATTCGTAGCAAAAGTTTATTGAACTTGAGTAACATTTGCATAAATTGTGCTAATTTTATGTCTAGAAATCCATACTTTGAACGGCAACGAATAACAACTGTCAAAATATTTCGAAATTGATATTGCTAAACTATCTCGTAACATGTTAGTTATAAGTGTGGAGAGGTACACCAGTAGAGGTAGACCAAGAAAGAGATGGATGGATTGTGTGTAAGGTGACATGATCAAAAAGGGAGTTATAACTGAGATGACGGATGATAGAGTTATTTGAAGGAAGAAAACCCTGTGCTCCAACCCTACGAGAGTAGGTTTAGATAGGGTAGATGATCTGTGACATGAAATAATAGCCGGAACTGTATAAATACATTGCCATTCTTAGCACTCTGAAAAAAAAAAAACAGCTATAATACTGGCTGGATACAAAAGACGTAACTTTTTAACAAGAAACGTCCGTAGCATGCATTTAAAAGGCTTTCATTGTGTAACATGTAATGTCAAGGTTGCTATTACGAAAGATATGAATCAGATTTAATAGATGCGACCTCAAACTATTTATAGCAATTTTTTTCATGAATTAACCGCTTAAACATAGTACTGTTATGGCAGTATTAAAGTAAATAAAAGGGCCTCATTCTCATGGGTGCTTTTATACCACGTTAAAAAAACGTTGAATTATAACAAATGCATTTCTATTTATATACGACGTCTATAGTCGCAGAGTGTTGCATTTTGTGCTCTGGGCATACGAAATAAGAGTGATTTTCAAGCGTTTCTCGCACGAGAGCAGGGAACTACGAGTTTCAACGCGGCGTTATAAAAACGCTCGTGCCTATACGTGTGATGAAAATAATTATTTGCAAATTGTAAAACAATAGTTTGCGATAACAGGATTAATATTTGTAAAGTATCAATCTGATTGAACTGAAATTAAATAAAATTGCGTTATTTAGTTAATGCGTAATAGCATCTGATTGTGTACCACTTGATTGAGGCATCATAACCGAAGCTATAATAATAAATGTAAACATTTATAGTATATTTCAATAGCTATTAAGATTATTGATAGTTCAAACACATTGCAAATACAATATCATTGAATCAAGCATAATAAATGTGTTAACGATTAGAAATATTTATTAATAGCAATATAGGCTTGTATTCTGAAACTTTGATCTTTGGATTTCATCAAGAATATGAAATTATATTGACCTACTAACTACTATAATAAAATATGGAATATTCTGAAACACCGTTCTAGTCCGCCTATTAAGGTTTAAATTTGCGGATGACGTCGTGGGCATTAACTAGTATGTCATAAAAAGAGTGCTAGCAAAATGAACTATGTGTTAATAAGTGCAGTTCTAATTCTATGGGCACATCCAAAACCTTGGTATTATTTTTTTTTCTTTCAATGAGATACAGACATAAAAATATACTGTGGTACAACTGTTTTAATGGTAAAAACCAATTGTAGAGTGTGTTCATAATATTCATTAAACTGTCATATGTTATCTGTATTTTATTGCAATGTATTTGTTTGGTTTCAATTCGTTCTATTAGTTGTTCAAAAAATATCTGATGCATAGATGATTTTTATTATAATTTCGTGGTTGTAATATTAACTTTCAAAATCTCTAAACATTCTTATTTTGAGTAATTTATGATGTGAATTAGAAGTGTTCTTCTTTAAAAATTAAAGAGTTAATACATTTCTACTTGAAATTATTCATTTACCAAAAGATTTTAAATCTTCATTTGTGTCTTTTAAGAAAAATTGATAGAATCTTTCTAATTATTTTACAGATATTACTCATATTTACTTTTATTGGTGACGGCACTGACCAGTTTCATACCCTGACCAGGTCCTTCTTCTGGGCGAGTGTTACTGGGCTTGTTTCGGGGTTGCGTCGCGCCTCGCACTGGCTTTTTATGAATCTTTCTATTACTACTTTTATAGATTTAACTACTACTTAGGTTGCATAGATTTCTGGTCATTTTTATCATCCTGTATATATTAAATGTTTCATATTCTTTCCTCAGGTGGCATAACATCATTCTCTCCTATGATCAACAATGCAGTACATGTTATTATGTACAGTTACTACCTGCTTTCAGCCGAAGGAAGCCCTTCAGTAAAGGCTCATTTGATTAAATACAAGAAATGGATCACTGTCATGCAAATGGTATGGTTAAATATACAATACAGTCGGTTCTAGCAGTAACTGTTCAGTTGTCCCTACACACAGTTTTCACTTAACAGTTGTATTGTTTTATAGATATTCAGTTTGAACTGAACTGTTTAACTGGTCTACAACTTAACTGGACTTTTCAGTTTACACTGAACACATTACTAAGGAATTTTCTCTAGAGATAGTCTCAAAGTTAACCTTAGACAAAAATGTATTTAAATTTGTTGTGTGATTTAGAAATATGTCAAAATAATTATTAAGTTAACTATTGCAATTGAACATCATCTTCCCAGCCTTATCTTACTCACATAGGGTTGATGCACCTCATACACATTATTCTATCCTCCATCATCTACCTCTACTGTTTATGTTTAATCAAAAAATTTTTTTCAGGTTCAATTTACATTAATGATTATTTATAGTTCTCAAGTATTCCTGCCAAGCTGCCCCGCACCTCTCGGCGTTACTATAATATACTTTCCCAATGTGATATTTGTATATTACATGTTTTATAATTTTTTCAAACACAACTATGTAGAAAATAAGCAAAATGGATGTAAAAAGTAATTAAACATGATATTAATTTAATCAAGAACAATAGAAAGGTATTATCAGAGGTAAATTAGATAATTCCTAGTATCTTTCAGTTGTTTTATTAATGTTGAAACAGTCAACGAATTTGGCTCCTGTGGAATTTATAATTAGAATATCAGATTCTTTAAGGTATGTCTTCATTTTATATAATTATCTTTTAGAACTGTAGAAAAATAAAACTAAATAGTTTTGGCAATGTATAGTGTTACATTTTTATTTATTAATTTTTCAATTAAGTTAGGATCGCACAAATATATTTAAAACGATCGCACTCTAAATTACTTTGGATGTTTAAATTTTGCGTAATAGTCCATATTAGGAGAGAACTAAGAATTTATCGTAAATTAAATAAATACAACCTAATTGATTTTATTTACTTTTCGTGTTAAGTTCAATCGGTGAAAATAACTTTCTGACGCCAAAACGACAAGAAACGTCACTTACCGTGTAATAAGACAGGAGCCCAGCATTCTCGTCCAAAACAAACCACCGATATTGCCACCCTTTCATAACATTTGTCCATTTACTTAGTGAACCCTCCATCATCATTGTATAACTTAAAAACAATTATCAAAAAACATTAAAAATAATCACAGAAAATATTTAACTGCGGCAGCAACACAATACCATAAATAATCCATATGTTTGACGTTACTGCAAATCTTTGCCTGTTGCTAAAATCAGGCAATCAGATACCAATATTGCCATTATCAAAACAAATAGAAAATGTTTTCATAAAAAAATCTTTGGTTTTTACCTATATATGTTTAGTATTTTATACATTAGTGTATATTTATATTAATATGCAATAATTATTCGAAAATACTGCCTCGTATCGGGCAATTTTTAATAACGACATCTAGTGAGTTAAGACAGACATTGCTCTTTAGCAACATTTTACGAAATAGAATTTAGGTTTGCGGTCATCTGTATAAAATTGTGCAAATCAATAATAGGCACATGTTGCATATTTCAGTAACATATCTGTGTAATATTTTTTTTTAGTTGTCCTGCAATGGTTCTTTCTTAGTGAGTATAGCTAAAATATTTAAATTTATTCGGTGGTTACAGGTGTTACAAATAAAAAAATCATAAATAAAAAAAAATATTTTATATTATACAACCCGATTATCACTTTCATACAAATCGTAACGACTAACATCACGTCGTTTTAATTTAGTAACACTAACACTATACTATTTACAAACGTCAATCGATTAACTGTTTCATTGTCTTCTCAGTGATCTGCCGAGCTTTGTTTTACTATAACCTGAAGTAATTGATACTTTACTGTCTTCCTGATCTAAACTAATACCTGATAAATCTACAAATAATGGCACGTTCTCTGAACCTTCAGCTTCAGGATCTTTTTCTTTGTCGAAGTTTTCTGGCGTCCCATCACCTTCGATGGCCAGTTTTTCGATGTCTTTACTTAATGAATTATTCTCTGCTGCTTCGACGAAAGCATTTGACAGTTCCCCGCTAAGTTTGCTAACGTTGCCTGATGAAATATCGTACATGAATATTTCTTTGTCTTCAGCTGGTTCGTCGTTTCTGAAAATGAGAATAAATTACATATTACACTGATGTAGGTTAAATTAATTTTATAGTTTTGTTACATAAAATAAGTTTTGGTAAGATGTTTGGGGAAGACTCATTTCTTTTAGCAATTGAAGGAAATGTAGTATTTTTCTATGTTTATCCGTATTAACTTGGCGTATTTTTATTGTTTGATGGTATACTCGCATAACAGTGATTACGATTACGCATAATTTCAATAAATATGAAAATACGACAAGATACTCACTCTGTAACTAGAAGAATAACGGATTGTTGATCTGTTGCTGTTTTCTTTTCAATATCGAGCCATTTATTGAAATTATCTGTTGTTGGTTTCTTTAGCAAATCTTGCAAACTATCACCGGCAACGAATTTGATGCCTTTCAAGCTGTTAGTTGTTGCTCGTTCAGCTCTACTGTGTTCGGTACTTAATTCCTCTGTTTGTACTGGCGCTAATACAACAACCGACGTTATCTTTCTACCTTTTAGAATATCAGGCAGAGGAAATTGATTTCCCTTAACTTTCAAAGGCAAATATCTGTTATATTTTTTATCGTTAAGCGCCACTGGATCTACCTGAGTCGCATCCTCTTTCACATAATCTTTTGCTATATTTTTACCTTCTGGTGTGTTAGGATCGAACTGTACAACTTTCATATCAACTGCTTGAGGTGAAGCTGATGGTGGGGATACGTATGTCGCCATGTTTTCTGATGCGGCAATATCCTGATCATCTTCATCGAAGTTTTCATCAATTCTTGATTCAATCTGATCACCGTTGGGTTTAACTATGACTGGATTGTGATCGCTCGCCGCAATTTGCTGACCACCTCCGGCGCTGAAGAAATTTGCTAATTGATCTGGAGGAAGAGATTCTAATGGCGTTTCTCCCACTTTGTCGTAATCTAATACGCTTATATCAGCATTGTCTAGAATTCCAGAAGAAAGCAATTGTTGACGAAGATCATCTGGCACTTCATCAGGAAGTTCTATCGTTGGCTTCTTCTTCTTCTCCTCTTTTTTCGGTTCTGGAGTTGATGGTAAGGAATTTGAAGTTGAAGAAACATACTTTGGAGTCGTTGGCTTAATTTCAACAGTTCTAGAAGTTGACTGGTAGAAAGGAGCTTGAGTACTAGATACAAATGATGGTTGAGCTCTGGATCTTTCTTGTTGATCATAATTGTTGTACTGATTATATTGATTCTGTTCAAATTGTTTAGTTTGTTGCTGCTGTTGTTGTTGGTGGTGTAATTGTTGATTATACAGCAGTTGTCCCTGTAGTCGCTGTATTTCTTCCTGTTGTTTTCTAACATTTTGTGCTAATTGTTGTCTTACTTGTTCTTGTTCAGCATCAAAAGCTTGTTGTTGCTGTTGTTTTTCTTGCTCTTCTTTTTGTTTTTGTTCTTGTTGTTGTTGATGCCGATGTTGTTGCTGTTGTTGTTGATAAAATTGCTGCTGTGGAGTTATGGATGTCGGTGCTGGTTGTTTGTTGTCATTCAAACCTTCAAAGTTATTCCGCGAATCGCGGCCATCGACTGTTATGTGCTGTTCATACTTAGATATGGAAGGCACAAGCTCACCGTCTTTTGGAACAAACTGGCCAATGTTTTGTTGGTGATCAAGACTTGTTTGACTTTGGAAAATAGTTTGATGTCCCGAAGGAGGTCTCTCTGTTTGAGTTTGCGAATGCTGGTAGTGATTTAGAGGTTGCTGATGAAAACTATGCTGTTGACTGGGTGTTGGTGATGGTTGGGGGTGGAAACTGAATAGTGGTGGTGACGACGGTTGTGGAAGGAATTGATTGTGGGGAATAGGAGATGGCGAAGGAGAAATATGACTCGAAAATGAACTATGCTGTGTTGGAGATTGAAGAGTTGGTCTAACAACTGGTTGAGCTCCTTGATGAAAACTAAATTGTTGAGTTTGTTGCTGGGAAGACTGGAAAGGAACTCGGTTATTTTCAATATGAGGAGGAGAAGGTTTTAAGTTATAGAAAGGTGGTCTACTAGGGGAAACAGAAAATGAAGGACTATTTAAGCCAGAGTCAAAATGTTGAGACGGTCTCTGCTGCGTGGGTAGTTGTTGATTGTAAGGAATCAATTGTGGTCTACTTTCTGAGAAGTGCGCGGAAGAGGTACTAGGACTTGGCTTCGGATTAAAGGTTTGTGCTTGCCTAGTCGGCAACAACTGAACTTTAGGTGGTTCCACTTGTTCTGTTGTAATGGTGTGATAATTTTCTTGTAAATATTTAGGTTCATCGAAATATGTTTGGGGTTGTGGTTGCTGTTGATGGAATGGTCTTTGTGGACCAGAATGAAAACTTGTTCTCGGTGGACCACTGAAATGTGGTCTCGAAGCGAACGCGGGTGGGCTGCTTGGACGAGCGTGGAAAGAAGGTAGATTGCTTGGTCTTGAAAATGTCGTTGGGAAGGCGGGACTGATTGGACCGGGAACAGTTGGAGCAACATTGGCAAAGTGAGAACTTGGAGAAGCACTAGGAAAACCTGAATATGAGCTTACTGAAGGTGATGGAGGAAATGGACTCTGCCTGGTTGATTGAGGCTGTGACCTAAATGGCGCAACCGATGGCCCCTGTCTTGGCAATTGATAGTCATTAGATAAGAAACTTTGCTGGAATTGAATCCGACTTTGGGCATGTTGAGAAGCAGACCTGTACGTTTGTGATGAATGATCTGCTAATGGACTGGAATGCGAGATAGAGCGACTACTGGAGTCGTGGTACTGTGGTTGCGGAGACGCGGAATGTTCGTAGGTTTGTGCACTCGGATGGGCATTAGGTAAAGCGATTGCTGGCCTCGGAGCAGTTTCCTCGTGATGTTCGTGAGGTCCATTGTCTTCGCGGCTGCTGTAATGATGATGGTTCTCATTACCAAACGTTACTTTAACACTGCTGTCGCTATGATAAACTTCGGATTCTGGTTTTATTATCGCTCTCAAAGTCGTTGTTTGAGTTGGTAAATACAGAGGTTCAGGGGTCACAGTAATGTAATCATCGTGACTATCATCTTCATGGTTCGAAGGTGGGGTGATGGCTGGAATAGGTTTTTCATAAACTACTTTATCTTCGGAGTGCGGGTCCTTGCTATATTTTACATAAAACACTTGAACTGGTTCTTTCTTTTTCTTTAGTATGGGTTGTGGTGGCGGCGCTGGCAAAGATTCATTGGATTCCTTAATGATGATTTCGATGATAGGTTCAGGTGCTTCAATGTAATGAGGCTGGGGCTCGTAGCTGTAGAGCGGGGCGGTCGGTAGCGCACCATAAGGTGGACCAAATGAACCTTCGGGAGATTGATCGTGAATATTGAGAATTTTAGGTTGTGCGTGTATTTCGTTCTTGTTACCAACGACCTCATCTAGGTTACTAAGATTCGGGTCGTACAGAGGATCTTTTTGTGAATATTGAACAACGGGTTCCATTTGTACCGCGTATGGCGGCAGTTTCCCTCTGGGTACATTTGAAATTCTTCTGTTGCTTGACGTAGAGCGGAAATGTTGTACTCTAGAGTGCGGGAGCACTAAAGAGTACTGTAGATTTTGCGGAGTTCGTATATTTTCGAGTTGTCGTTTCGGTTTTGTTTTCGCTGTCGAGTTTTTGGCACAAGTCACGCTGAGCACAGCCAAGGCTGTAACCTGAAACAAGGTAAATGACGTTAAATTGACTTCACTTGTGATGCTTTTGAACTTTTTAATGCGATTTATTTGTAGGTAAATTAACTCTAGTCTTGAGTGAATGCTTACATAAGTCTCTATTTAAAAAAAGCATTCCTTTGTCGGCGCGGGACAAGGGGCGTGTGTGAGGCACGTCAGAATGAATGACTCGGATGTATCGCGACCTCGTAGCGTCATTTGGAGGAACACGTAACGAATACTGCAGGTGTGTTTAAGGAGAAAGTGATTTAATATGGAAAGCTTTATTGCCGGTTAATGGACACGCACTTTGGGGACAAAGACGTTTGGTCCAAGTGATAAGTGTAATTGTGTTTTTTTTTAATAAATAATTGGTAGGTGTTAAATATTTGTTATTCATTATCAAGTCATTAAGAAATTGTTAACACTTGATATATCAAGCTGGTAATAAAATTAGTTTCAACACTAATAAACAGTTGAAATATGCCAGATACTCAACAAACATTTCTCTTAATTTTTCTATTAGTTTATACATTCATTTAAAAAGTTTTAATTCTTAATTCAAAAACGCGTTAAACTTATAACTTGAACTGTAGATTTAAGGAAGTTACTTTCGGGCGGGCCAGTCGGACTGCATTCCGATGAGACCAAAAGTAACACGACTTTTTAACTCCAGGAAACTTTAACAGCACGTGTCATGTATCACAGATTATATGATATTAGGCCATCAGTATATTTACAGATATTAACAAATACAATTATGATGACGGTTAAATTAAAATAAAAAGAAAACATCATCATCATCATCTTCCTCCTTATCCTAATCCAGTAGGGTCAGCGTGACAGGTTTTTGTCCTCCAAATAACTCTATCGTACGTCATCTCAGTCATCACTCCCTTTTTGATCATGTCACCTTTCACGCAATCCATCTTTTTCTAGATCTACCTCTACCGGTGTACACCATAACATACATAATCTAAACGCAAACATTTCGAAAACATAATAAAAACAAAATTTTAGAATTAGAATATTTCACAATAGAAACCGCATTTAGACACTGAATGCATATTTCGTAAGTCGAAACGACTCGCGAATCTTTAAATATGAATTAGTGCATAATTTTCGAGATGCATTAAAACTGTTACGAAATCCGAATGGCCATTGAATCACCACTTCAATGCTGTTATGAAACTGTCAAAAGTAAAAGTCATATCTACTTGAATGTGTATGAATTTTAAGTAGGATTTTTATTTCATGTTATTGGTACTTCGGTTACAACTGTATACTGATAATATACTATACTAATATAACTTTTCCCGCGACTCCGCGTGGAATTAAAAAAGACAAACGTGAGTAGCCTATGTGTTCTTCCATATTATCCTCTACGTCTATGTCAAACTTCATCGAGATCTGTTCAGCCGTTTAGGCTACAAACTCTAACATCATCAATCCATCTAATTCGCATTTAAAATATTAGTAAGATTATGAAGAGGAAAGATTTGTATTTTTACATGTATTGAAATAACTCAAAAACTACTGGACCCATTTTAAAAATTCTTGCACCATTAAAAAGCTATGTTATCAGTTAGTAACATTGGCTTGTTTACTATTTTATTTAATTTAATGCGAGCGAAGTCGCGAGCAACAGTTCGTCATTTATAAAATTTAATTACAAGTATGTTAGGAACAAACAATAAACCCAGCTTCATGTTTATCATAATTAATACAAAGTGATTTATTTTATTTTATTTAATAACTTTTGATTCAGCTGTTTATGCTGATGGAGGTCACAGCATATACAATATACAAACCTACTTAAAAATAAACATTCACGCTACAGATTAAAAAAATAATCAAAATATAACATTTGCATGACGACGCCAATTAAAAAACAAAAGTTCTAAATTTTAAAAATTCTCACGGCATTTTTTTAAGTCAACAAAGAAAAGAAATTTAATTTCCACTACATTATCTCAGCTGAGTTATCGAATAATGTGAGAATTTATGCTGGTATTCTATTATGCAAAGATTATCTGCGATCATTTGCATGGTAGATGGAAACGCTGATATTTTTAAAACAATTTTTGTACTTTGGAAGGAAATTATATGATAAATATTCAACGCTTGAAACTCTACAAGCATTCTAATGATTAAAATAGATTTTTAGTAATGTAAATAAATTCATTTCCAAAAGTAGGTTCCACAAAAATTTCTCACCGAATTAATTATGCATGCAAACGGATTTGTGCATCGTCCACATTCACTATGTGATTGTCATTATTTCGAAGATTGATTGACTTTACGACATAATTAAAAGCAATCAGTAAAGGACATTCAAAAGATTTGTACAATTTCTTCTTGCTAAATCCATTTATAAAAGTGTGTATCTTTGTCTATTTGTTATTATTACTGATAAAAATGTTCATCTAAAAATAATACGTCACGAGTAAACGTGATGCTTGATTGTTATGACACGTTCGTAAGTGGAACAAAAAACAAATGAACATCTAAAAAACGAAATAAAAAAGTAATCTTTTATTTTTATTTGACAGCTTTGTGTATATTTCTACGTAAGCAATTTACTGTTTATTAGTCCTATTGATATGTGACAAATCTAATTAACTTAAATAAACTAAATAAGTGAACGTAAAGATAATGTAGAAATAAAAAAAAACATATTTGCATAAATTAAAAAATCATGGACAATAGTCCATAAATAATAATTTATGGTCCAATTTTGACTAATATACGGCCACTACTAATTAAAAAAATAAAAACAAGACATATAGTCTTACATAATGTGAGATTGAGGTAAACTATATAATTATGTAAGATAAGCATGTTTTATTACGACGATTAACGACACTTATCACATTACATCTGTATTTAACATTTACTGCCGTACTCCGAGTTATTTAATGTATACTTAACACTTTATGGGCGTCGTCAGGGAAACCAGAGATCCAAAAGTGTAAAACAGATTAAAAAGCTACTCTGAAACTTAGAACTGGGGACTAGAGATTTTAGTATACAGCGCCATCTCTTGCGATAGCCAAACCACGTACTAATTTAGGGGTGTCAAATCTATTTTGGCAACCAAACGACATTTGTCTAAGGGCCACTAAATTGTAAAATGTCTGATAACAATCCAACGTGTCAAATATGCGAGGGAAATATCTGATTTTGTTATTTTAACTGACGTCATTTTTAAGCTATCTGACCCTCTATCAGCCAATGGTGGGACAAACCCTAAGACTTCCCTGTTCTTAGTGACCGTGAGAAGGTAGGTAATACATTTTTGAATTAAAAGTGCTTATTATTACGTTTTCATTACATAAGACTTATTAATTCAGTCGGAAGCAGAGATGAAAGTCCGACATTTTGATTAATGTAATATTTAAACTCGTGCATATTTTTCGAACATTTAATTTACGTACCGTAACAAGTTGTTATTACAATTGAGTGAATTAATGATTTTATTAGGTTAACTATTACTTACGTTTACTGACATAACTACGATTTCATTTACAGCTTACAGGGATGGATAGATGTTTGATAATGTTTTCAAACTAAACGACTGATTAGATCTGGATGAAATTCTGCATCGATGTAGAACATAGTCTGCAAGAATACATAGGCTACTTACTTTTGCTTTTTTTAATTCCACGCGGACGGAGTCGCGAGGAAAAGCTAGTTACTTATAATTTTACATGAGCAAAGAACAGATTAAGCGAATAGATATAACAACGACTATTTAATTGTATTAAATTATGGTTAGTGCATTGACATGCCTGCCATCTGTCGGCAAACGCCCGCCACGGTTACTTTAATTGCATAATATCTTTATTGTTACGCATAACGATTGTTCGCGCTTAACTATTTGTAACAGTTTTCCGGTGTTAAGTATAATATGAGTAGAAATTTATCTATATATATAAAAGAAATTAACGTTTGTCCCCGTTTTAAACGGCAGAAGACTTTAACGATATTTAAATACGTATTTATGAAATGACTGTTATGATTTAACTCCAAATTCCATCAAATTTTTGTAAGCAACGCTTACGAAGAGAAGTGTTTATTATTTGTAGTATTCGGGCGTATACAGATGGATATAATTTGTCAAAATGGTAAGGTTTGTTTCTTGTTTAAAAGTTTTTTCAAATTCGAACGTTTTTTTTTTGTTACTTTCACTACAAATTTTATTATAACAGGAAGATGATAGTTTTCTGCCTTCTCAAGTATGTTTCATTTTTTTTTATTTTAAGAATTCTATTGTGTATAAATTGTAAAATAAATAAATACACTTTCTGAATACTAATAAATCGGAAATAGCAACGTCTGTCATGCAAATCATTGACAGAAAAAAAATGTACATCTGACATATAACCATTGTTCTGACGAAGTTTCTTGTCATGTTTATCGTCGATTGTTTCTTTTCTTATACCATTTTGTTTCATACACTTTCGATTACTAACATTATACTTATTAAATAATGATAACTATAATAATAATGATTATCCCTCCGACCTCACGTTTAGTCTTAAAGCCCATACATGTAAACCTAACACCTCTTACTGTTCTTGCTATGCAATAGACT